TGATTAGATAGAAAGACACTGTATAAGTAGAGTCCATTTTACCTTTCCACTGTCACCTTCTTGCTTGTTCAAAATGAGAGTTCTGTGATGGAATTAAATCCAAAAAAGTCTGCTCCTCAGATGAATAATGATATTAACTTATTTTTATGCATATAAATGTTTCTGTTCAGTGTCATGAGATGATTTCTACTGTGACCTGGCACTGTATAAATAAACTGAATTCGATTGAATTGAGTAACTTTATTGTTGAAATATTGTGGAAAATCTTACTTGAAAATGATAGAACTCATTATCAGAAGAAAGATTGAATCAATCATTTTTGTTGTTGTTTTTAAAGACAGAAGACCTTTTGGTCAAAGTTCTTATTTTTCATTTGTTGCTCTGGTTTTAGAATATGGTTCAGTCTTATTCACACACACATACACACACACAATGTATATATATATATATATATATATATATATATATATATATATATATATAGCTGTATGTATGTATGTATGTATATATATATATCTGTATACCATACCATACCAATTTATTTATATAGCACTTAAAACAGCAACAAGGCCAACCAAAGTGCTGTACAAAAGAACACAAACATGCACAGCGGACAGGAAAACATAAAATAGAAATACAGATACAAATAGCAGCAGAAGCTAACTAAAATGGCCAACAGAGTAGAGAACAGACCGGACCAAAACAAATCACACCGTGTTAAAGGCAAGCGAATAGAAGTGGGTCTTCAAGCGAGACAAAGACTGAGAGTGTGGGAGCCTGCCGGACACTCAGTGGCAACTCATTCCACAGTCGTGGACCTGCAACAGAGAAAGCCCTGTCACCTCTGAGCTTACGACGGGTTTCTGGGACTGAGAGAAGCATCTGGTCTGCTGACCTCAGAGAGCGCGGTGGGACATATGGCTGCAGAAGATCAGTGAGATAGGATGGGGCGGAACTGTTCAGTGATTTAAAAACATACATGAGAATTTTGAAATGGATCCGAAGGTGAATGGGTAGCCAGTGCAGGGAGGCCAAAACTGGCGTGATGTGCTCTCTATAGCCTGTACCAGTTAAAAATCGGGCTGCAGCATTTTGGACCAGTTGTAGACGAGCAATGGAGGACTGACTGATTCCAAACAGAAGTGAATGGCAGTAATCAAGCCTAGATGTTATGAAGGCGTGGATCACTGTCTCGAGGTTCTTTTTGTTGAGTATAGGCTTCAGCTTAGACAGCCGTCTCAGCTGAAAAAAAACAGGATTTGACCATCATGTTTACGTGACTGTTGAGTTTTAAGGACGGGTCCATTATCACCCCCAGATTAGTCACCTTTTGTTTCTCTAGCGGGGCTAGAGAGAATAGGTCGATGTCATAGTTCATGAGTGAGCCACTGGGATGGAACAGCATGACTTCAGACTTCTTCTCATTGAAGCTTAAGAAGTTTAAAGCCATCCAGTCCCGGATGTCAGCCAGGCAGTCAAGAAGAGGCTGAATAGAGCGTGTGCCTCTGTGCCTCAGGGGGAAGTAAATTTGGCAATCATCGGCATAGAAATGAAAGGGTATGTCGTGTTTGCGGAAGATAGCACCTAGTGGCAGCAGGTATAAAGAAAAGAGAAGGGGACCGAGGATGGACCCCTGCGGTACCCCCCACTGGAGTGCGGTCGATGCCGAACTAAAATCTTTGATATTGACACAGAAGGTTCTGTCAGAGAGGTAGGACCCAAACCATTTAAGGGCTGACCCTGTGATGCCCACCCACTGCTCTAGTCTAGAAATGAGGATATTGTGGTCGATGGTGTCAAAAGCAGATGTAAGGTCCAATAGGACAAGCAGCACAGAATCACCTGCGTCTGTGGATATGAAAATGTCATTAAAAACCTTCAGTAGAGCAGTTTCAGTGCTATGGAGAGATGTATGTATGTATGTATGTATGTATATGTGTGTGTATATCAGAGTCAGCGTCAGAGAGATTTATTTGTCATACACACCACATGTGGTACATGTGGTGGAACGAGATTATGTACACAGAGTCCCAGTTACATCCAACAATAAAATGTAAAAGAAAAACAGTAATAAGATTTAAGATATGAACTAAGCAAAACATCAACTAAAAATATGCTAAGCACTAATAGCATAAAAAAATACGTCAAACAGCAGCACGAACATGAGTGTAGTGAACTAAGCCTCAGGTCAAAATCTGGCCCTGAGGGCCTTCCTGGGACAAGAACTGTTATTTCATTGAAGAACTGTTATTTCATTGATTTGAGTCCAGAAACACAAAATTAAGTTCATCCAGAGACTTTCTAAGTGTGTCCTGCACAGATCAATTGAAAGAACACTCTCTTTTTTATTATCATTACTATTTTACAATATCTTGATAATCAAAAGTGTTTAGTTCAAATCATTTTTAAATGTTGAAATGAACTACTTATTTTAAATCAACTGTGAAACAGTATTAATGATTTTTAATCCTCATTCAAAGTAGAAATCTAGTTAATGTCTGTTACAGAGTAATTATTCATTTTCTTGATCTTCTGTCTGAAATGAGCAGGTTGTAAGTTGGTCAAAAGTCGGAGACAAACGCAAACAAGTTTGTTGGAACGAACTGTCATGTTTTTAAATCCTCTCAGACGTAAATAGAGAAGCTGGCACCTGTTTCCTCCCATCTCGCCTAAACATTTCTCTGTCTGTTTCAAAAACATTTTTCTGTCTGTTCCAAAACATCGAACTGTTTTTCTGACTTCTAGTGACCTCTTACGTCACTAAAACCACACCCCTGATTGGCTCTTTCAGCCAATCAGGACTTCCCAAATGAACCGGAAACAGAACTCTTTAAATGTCGACACTTCCTAGTTCTCAGAGTGCAGTGCAGTTCGGAACGCAGAACGCAGAACAAAGTTCCGAGTCTCGTGGGGATTATGGAATCTTCCACATCTGAGTGGAACCTCTGACGGGCTCACAGCTCATGCGAGCCCACCCGAGAGGTGAGCTGCTGTTGAACGAAGTACCGTCACTACTCCGGATGGTTCTCTGCTATCCTTACGGAGACGCTGAAAGGTGGCTTGAAGTGGAACTTTACGCCGGAACTGACATATCTTCAGAAAGGTAAAAAGTCGATCTTCAACTGCGAAGTGTACCATGGGTTAAGCTGGGTTCGAATGGAGGGTGCCGTTCTTCGTCGACACATTTTCCCTCACACACCATCTCTCTCCATTTAAACCTCATTTCCCATCTTTAAAACTCTTCTATCTTGCCAGTAAATCATCCAGATATTTTCATAAATGTCTGTTGTATTAATTAAGCTGTGTTATCGCGTACAATCAGAATAATCACGTGTACAATGTTTGATGTTAAACTTTGATTCTGTTAATAAATGACCGCATTCATTTTGATGGGTCAAAGAAACTTAACGTCTCACGTCACTGATTAAACCCTCTCCCACACAGTATCTCTGTCACATATCTGTCAAGTAGCTCGAAAAAGAGAGAACCCGTTTAAATTAAGTATAATATCAGGTACTTGAACTAGTCCAGATATTATAACGTGTAGTGGAGCTCCGAAGCTAAGCGAAGCTAACCGACCTATCTCACTACATGAGTATGTGTGAGCAGATGAGCCTGAACACAGCAACATGAAACAGATCAGCAGCAACATTGAAACAGATCAGCAGCAGCATGATGTGATTTTTCACAGTGATTATTCTGGTTAGATATTGATGAGTAACAGCTTCAGGGTAGAAGCTGTTCCTCAGTCTAGTGGTTCTACACTTAATGCTCCTTAACCTCCTTCCTGAGGGGAGTGGGGCAAAAAGGGTGTGTGCTGAGTGAGTGGGGTCCTTCATGATGCAGGTGGCCCTCTTCCTGCATCTAGAGGTGTAGATGTCTGTGATGGTGGGGAGGCTGACTCCAACAGACTTCTGTGCAGCCTTCACCACTCTCTGCAAAGCTTTTCTTTCAGCAGCTGTGCAGCCTCCATGCCACACGTTGATGCTGGAGCACAGGATGCTCTCCACTGCACACCTGTAGAAGGAGGTGAGGACTGAGCTTCCCAGACCAGCTCGTCTCAGCCGTCTGAGGAAGTAGAGTTTCTGATGAGCTTTCTTGATCAGGCTGGTGGTGTTGTTGCTCCAGCTGAGGTTGTCATTCATGTGTACACCCAAGTACTTGTAGCTGGAGACCACTTCCATCACACATCTTCTTATATTCAGGGGGGTGTAAGTGTGTTTGTTCTTTCTGAAGTCCACAATCATCTCCTTTGTCTTCTTCACATTGATGTGCGTGTACATATATTTTTTTCTTTTTTGTTTCCATTCATTCATTCAACCTTTATTTATAAAGGCCAGTCTCACTATGTTACTCGGTATGGTTTACTGCCTTCTTGGACAATTGTGCTGAAAAACACATTTTTTAATTTATTTTAATGAGACTTTTGCCAAATAAATAAAGGCTATATACATTAATAAACAATAGTCCATTTATGCACATGAAGTGTGGTGGTGGGAACCATATTTGCTCTAAAGAAATGTAATAATGATCTATTAGGAGCAGCTGTGGCTGAGTGGTTAGAGCAGCCGTCCTCCAATGGGAAAGTTGGGGGTTCAATTCCACCAGCAGTCACATGCTGAAGTGTCCCTGGGCAAGACACTGAACCCCTCATTGCCTCTGATGTGTGTCCCATCAGTGTATGAATGTGACAAAGAACTGATCTCTGTAGAGATCTAGTAGAGTTCTGTATGAATGAGTAAATGAGGGCACAGATTGTTGTAAAGAGCTTTGAGTTTCTTCATAGAAAGGTGATATATAAGTACAGACCATTTAATGAAAACCTCCATGATCCATAATTTACTGTACGACCACTGAGCCAACAAAACATTTTGACCACTTCTTATGTTCAGTCTGCAGATTCTCACTTGTCTATTTCATTGAAAAAGACTTATCTCTTTCCCAGTCATCCGGGAGTTTTCCAGTGCTTACGTTCACAATGTTCAGGCATGAGGCGACTTTTATCTGCAGTCTGACAGGCCTTTGAGGCTGATGTACAGCGAGCTGACCGTGGTGGTCTCCTCCTGCATGGACTCCTTCAGAGCAGGCTCACCCACACACATCAGAGTCAGCAGCCTCCTGGGCAGCTTCCCACTGAACACCAGGTAGATGCAGGGGTTCACACAGCTGTTCAGACTGGCAAGCAGCATCAAGACGGTGAAAGTGGCAGCTGGAGGGAAAAAAAGATTAAATGTATTGACTTGCAGATTAACAAACGTGCTTCCTTTAAATGCCTTGCAGGTGAATTCTGAGTCTGGTTCTGCTAGAGGTTTCAAATCTGCTGGTTTCCTTTTTACAAAACTGTAACAGATAGAAACAGTGCTGTAAGATGCAGCTGAATGGATTAATAAATCAAATCCATCCATCATCTTTACCTGCTTCTTCCTTTTCAGGTTACAGGGGTCACTGGTGCCCATATCCAGCAGTCACTGTGTGAGAGGTGGGGGACACCCTGAACAGGTCTCCAGTCCATCACAGGGACACACAGAGACAACCATTCACTCTCTCACTCACACCTAGAGACAATTTAGAGTTACCAATCAGCCTAATGAAAATGTCATAGCATAGTTGTTGATTTTTATTTAAGGATCATTCACAGGACCATTATCATTTTTTAATTATATACTTTCTCAATTTAAAACTTTCAGATTTTTGGACAGGTCTTTTATAATTGTTTACTGTAATTAATGCGTTTATCTGTACATTTATGTGAAATTGTTGGATGTGGAAATGGTTTTACTAAAACTATTTTATGTGTTGCAATGCCATTTAAGGATAAAAATGTGTTTTGGATCAGAACTCTAAAAATGTATCTTATGAAAAAACTCATGAAGCAAATCTGACATTTTTTCCTCTTAGACTTTATGCTACACTGGGTTGGCGCGTCCTCGTCCCACACGGACCACAGCTGCACGGTGAAGAATGGCGCCCAGCAGATGACGTAGGCCAGCACGATGACCACGGTCATCTTCACCGTCTTCACCCTGGCCTTGGACAGTCCCGCCACGCTGCTGGTCCGGGTGGGCAGCGGTTTGCAGACGGTCTCCCTGGCGGGCTGCGCCTTCATGTGGAAGTTGGTGTGCAGCGCGCGGCAGATGCGCACCTGGCACACGATCACCGTGAAAACTGGCACGACGAAAATCACCAGCGTGGTCCAGGTCACGTAGGCTCTCAGTCCCCACGGTTTGATGAAGTGAGCCCAGCAGTCGTGCACGCCGGGAGCCACCTCCACCTGAGAGAAGATGAAGAGCTGCGGGAGGCCGCCGAGGAGGGACACGCACCAGGCGGCGCACACCGGCCCGTTCCAGCGCGCTCTCCTCCGCTGGAACGTCACCATGGGGTTACAGATGGCCTGGTACCGGTCGATGGTCATCACCACGATCATGTAGGTGGAGGAAAACATCCCGACCACCTGGAGGTACTTCACTGCGCGGCACAGCAGGTCCGGACCCATGAACCTGTCGGTGATGTCCCACATGAGCTGCGGGCACACCTGGAAGAAGGTCACCACCAGGTCCGCGATACACAGGTGGAACACGAACACCCGCATCCTGGAGAGCTGCTTCCTCCGTTTCCACAGCACCAGCAGGAGCCCAAAGTTCAGGAGCCCCGCAGAGATGAACATGACGGACAGGAGGACAATCTCAACCCGGGCCAGGCGCTCGTCCCGGGGCTCCCCTCCAGGAGGAGAGTCCTGCAAGCTGCTGTTACTGGTGTTCACACTGAACCAAGACATGCTCACACCTGCAGTCCACGTAGAGGAGAGTCCGGGCACGTGAGTCCAACAGTCTCAATGGTCAGTCACTAGTTGTTGCACATTAAAACTGTTGAGCTGCTCCCAACAGAAGCTCTGGAGGAGAGGGACGGGTTTATATCTGATCTGTGCAGGAGGGAGGAGCAACCTCAGGATAAAACACACGCGCGCACACACACAGAATATACAAGAGACTTCTTTCTTTTACATTAAAGACATTATGTCCTCTTTATACATCTTCAAGTTATTTTCTGTACAGAAAGCATTTTTTTAAACAAAATTATGTGAACTAAACATTTTGTGTTACATTAACAAAATCTATTTTCCGACTCTTTCTGTTTCACATCATTTCCATAACCTTTAAAGAATAATGCACATGTTGAATTGTACGGTCGTTCCACATTTCCAGGTCAGCTCCAGCAGCACAGTGCCATATTTTTATATTTTAATTGAAATATAAATGAACATTAACAGCTCCAACATAATGAAAGCTAAAACTTTTTATGTGTTCTTCGTCCTTTCTTGGCCAAAGGCATCAAACCTGCAGGAAGTGCAGTTTTATTTAATACACAAATGTATCGGTTGTGAGACATTATTAATCATCATGTAATTTAAGGTTTCAGGTGACTGAGCAGTTCATCTTTGTCCATGTGGTAGTGGCTGCTCTTCCACACATCGCGGAGCATCTGCAGGGCAGCACCGATTTCTTTGCCTGAGCTGATTCCCATCTTCCTCAGATCGTGACCGCTGATGGGGAAGCGAGGGATGGACCACCCGAGGAGCTCTTTCAGCAGCTTCTCCTCGCCCTGGTACTTCAGCAGCTCGCACACTTTACTCTGAGAGTCCAGCTCCCGGCTCTGAGGAGACACAGAGTAAGACTGGTACGGTGGCCCTAAGGTGTACATGAACAACATTTGAAATATCAGAATTACATTAAGCCGAACCACAAGTGATGTTTGGGTTTTTTCTCGTGTATTTTTTTTACTGTACCTCTGTTGTGTGTGTACTGTACATTGTTTTGTTGTTGTTTTATGTTGTTAAAGTTTTTACACACACACACACACACACACACACACACACACACACACACACACA